GTTAAGCCATATATCTGCGAATCGTATCTGCACACGTTAAGTCCTCAAAGTTAAGCTTTGTTCTTGTTTTTTCTCATGACCTCGATTAGGGACGTCAACATTGACGTGGACTGCTGTCTATAATTTTGGCTTGCAGACGACTGTCACCACATTCTGACTTCCATTTAGGGAACAATGAACACTGAGCAAACTAATTTATTTAAATGTGTGACAAAAAGGGTGCATCAGTGATTCAGTGGTAAAATGCTAGCTAAATAAGCACCTAGTTTGGGGTTCGATTCCCGGTCGATGTACTAATAAAACTTGACTAGTTTACCAGTTCAGAGTAAGTCCGCAAAAGACTGAAGATTGGGTGTACGGCTAACAAATCCACCCCATAAGAAGCAGCACAATGGTTACTGAGTCTTCAAAACTTGAAGCCCTAAGTCCTATATTCAAGTCGGAAGGCAGTGGACTGAGAAAAAACAGGTTTTCATGTATTCTAAATGTTCCTACAGTATCTCTTTTACAATCATTCATTTTATTTCTTTATGTTGGTCCATGCTAGTGAGAATGTTGTCGTCTTATAACCAGCTTAAAAAAATTCGTTTTCTCTCCTTCAGTTCTAAGTAGAATGTAGGACTTCAAACTTTGAAGTTTCACTAGCAGTGATGTTTTGTTTTCTTTCGAGAAATATGGTTGCTAGCCTCATGGCCAAACGTCTCTTTCCCAGGTTTACTACTTGGTTAGGCGAGGTTTAGGAGTGTGTCGGCCGGGAATTGAACCCTGACATATCAAGGTCCTTGATATGATTATGAGCAATAAATTGTGCTCGAAACGTCATCAGTAAATATTACTGTATAACACTGTGAGACTCTATCAAAATAAAAATTTACCCATAATGGAATTACACTCTACCACAGTGCCCAAGTTTTATTCTTATAACATGTATATTTCTCATAGATACGTGAAGAAACCAAGTCACCTGACTGGTTGTGGATATAAGCACCTACATATATATATATATATATATATATATATGTATATATATATATATATATATTGGTTTTTACCGTCCCGAGGACCTCAACCAGGAAGTCTACACCTTCCTACGTGTCTTAGACTAACTGTTGTAGATTTCATTGACTGGTGCCATGTTTTCGTTTGACCACGGCTAGCCCTTTACCAGCCTGACCCTATATCAGCTAACATGGCCCGTCGAGGAAAGCGATGACTAGGCATACGTAGCACATGTCCTAACCATCTCAGTCGATGTAAATTCACAGTCTCGTCGACTGACTTCCCCTCCTTACCTAGCAGTCGACGCCTAACCTCAATACTGCTCACCTTATCATACCACTTCACGCGGGAGATAGGACGCAGACAACTATGATTGACGACAGCTAATCTTTTCAAGCCTTCTGCGCTCAATGGCCAGGTCTCACAGCCATAAAGGAGGACGGAGCGGACTGTTGAGCAGTACACACGCCCCTTGGTCGATAGTCGGATATCGCGTCTACGCCAGAGGTGGCGTAAACTGGCATATGCGAAACCAGCCCTCTGTATTCGTGTTGAGATTTCGTCGGGGATCAACCCGTTGGGGATGATGATACTTCCCAAGCAAGTGATGCGGTCAATGTGCTCTACCACTTCACTTCCTATTTCTAATCTAGGGGTCGGTGAAGTCCAATCCTGCAGCATCATCTTACATTTACAGGGGCGAATCGCATGCCAAACATACGAAGATTGTTGCTCAAGGTGTTCAGTAGACTCTGCATTTTGTCAGCGTCCTCGCCTAGAAGGACTATATCGTCCGCATATTCTAAGTCGCCGAGATTATTCCCTGGTAGCGAGTCAATCCCTGAGTCGCTGAAGTGTGTTAGGGTTAAGTCCATTAGTACGTCTATGATGAAGTTGAATAGGAATAGGGATAATGGGCATCCTTGACGGACGCCACTAGTCGTCACCACTTCAGATGACAACTCGCCACAAGCCCTCACCTGACCGCATCAGTACGAGTAGAGTGCTTTAATCAGTGCAATGTATTTTCTCGGCATTCCCTTTACAGCCAAGCATCGCCAGAGAACCTCTCGGTCGACAGAATCGAATGCCGCCTTTAGGTCAAGAAATATAATGATTGTTGGACGCCGGTAGGAATGCCTATGTTCTAGAATCTGTCGAAGGGTGAAGACAGATTCTAGAACATAGGCATATATATATATACTCAATACACAGTAAAAGCAAAATGTGAAAGAAATCGATTAGCGACTATAAATTCTTAACAAAATAAAGAGAAGTGTATACATACATGTTAAGAAGTTTACTAACACAAAATAATAAGTCGATAAATTATAAAAATATCAAATGTATTAAGTTCACTGGAAAATCAGCTGTCTATTAAGAAATAGAATCATTCTATCTGACACGATAGATACGGCAAGCCAATCAAATGGATAACTTACAGTTTGATCCCGAACTGACTTCACTCAAGACCCCCTGCCAGCAAGAATCGAAGCCAAGACCTTCAAGATACAAGGCGAGATCTGTGATCACTCAGCCGTTGGCATAGAATCCAATGACCAGCCCATGAATTCTAACTTCTGTCAATTTCTCGCGATATTCAGTGCGACCACCAGCCAACCTCATCGGCCACTGGATTCTGTCTCAGCAGCTAAATGGTCAGAGACCTCGCCTTGTAACCCGAGGGCTTCGGGTTCATTCGCTTTTTGTGAGACTGTGGGTGCGTACTGTTCAAGAGTCCCGAACTAGAAGGAGACAGTTGTCCAGTACTCCCTAGTTTTTAATGTGCTTCTCTAACCGAAATCAATCAAATCCCTATATATGAAAGCACGCCACGATTTTCTAGATAGCCTCGAAAAATATAATTTATGTGACACTGTCAGTCATCACAACATATTAAAAAAAGACTAAACTTACTTGTGATGTCTTTTCAATTTCTGATGGAACTGTAACGAAAAAAAGGAAGAACAAAATAATAAATATACAGTAGTATGAATCCGATCAGAAAAAAATAAAAATAAAAATTAGATGTTATAGCATATGCTGTAATTATGGATTAAAAGCATTAGACGAATGTTATGACTAGAACAAAAGAAATGAGGCAAAATTAAAGCGTAGCTGTTATATAATGTAAGATTGATGTATATAAACCAATCAATAATACATATATTATGTTTCTTGTTTCAGTTAAGCATGCACTCATAGAAAACAGAACATACGTCTACCAGCTGAGGCAGGTACACTAGCCTTATCCTTCACAGATGAAGTAGAACTAGCTAGAGGAGAACGTTTGAGACCGGATAACTTTGAAGTTCATCCTATGATATGTATGATATCGAAAATTGAATGATGAAACAGTGAAAAACAGAAATTTATCTGATTTATGAAAAATAAAGTCATGGTTGCATACAGAGTATAAACAAATTACCCGACGACAGATTTTTTTCCATAAAAAAAACTTTTTGATGGGTCACTGAAAACAAAATGCACTGGACGATAATTTCACTACATTTCTGTACAAATAGAATAGTTCAACGTCTCAGAGAAAGGACGTTGTCTTCGAATTAATTATTATGACCGAAATTAAAGGTAGTCAAAACTTACAAAAACAGTGACTGAATATAATCGAGTGGTGATCAAAGCTAGGACAAAACCCTCAGTAGCAGAACTTAAGCCAATGACTTCGATAACACGCAATGACTGAAATTTAAATGACATCAGTCACTAAATTTCAATCAGGTAGAGCTCAATTACCCGGAACAGATTTTCCATGTGCCAAACTAAGAGCCACACTCATTATGTGAGAACTGATGATACTATCCAATTGCCCAGGTTGAAGTAGATGGAGTGATATTCGAACCTCTGACCCATCAGTTGTACACCGAGTGCTTAGCCTAATGAACTTCATCTCCAGCAGAGCAATAGCAATGTGTCTGTTGTAAGGGTCAAGTGTTTTGGTTCAACCTAAAAAGTATAGCATGTGCATCAGCGAAAGACCCAAACGTAAGATAAAAAACTGATGGGCTAATCTATATTTCCAATAACATTTCAGATAATGTTGATTAGATTCACCTGTCTTAAAAATGACCTAGTTTCCAAAACTACTGAATGAAATGTCCCTGAGATTTGTCGCGTTCCTTTTTTGTACTACAGCTTTACAACAAACTGTCAGTAGTGTCATAATTGATAACATTATTTCAAAGTTACTTTAGTTCAAACACAATAATACTCAGTGGTGCATCGGTGGCACAGCGGTTAGGACTCTCGTCGACCATACACATGGTCTGAGGTTCGATTCCTTGCCGGCGCATACCTGATATCAATTGGTCGGCCTGCGAAATTCGGGCTACTGATATCACATGCTGAAAATTCCATACTTCTACCAAAAATACAGTATAGAATCAAGCTATAATAAAAAAAAGTCTAATATGAGGAAGCATTGATGATAAGTATCAAGAAACACGAAGTATTGGTCATTTAACTTTTTATTAGTTGATTTATATTATTAAAAACGGTTTGAAGAGCACAGCGACGTATAACTTTCAAACCTACTGAAAAAAGCTGATCAATCAGATTTCATCAACATGTGTAACGAAACAAAGTGAAATCAACTGGAATCCAATGAATGATAAATTCATGGAGAACTGAGTTAAATTCCAGTCAGTGGATAACGAATTGAAACACCGCTACACTAATTAAGGCATGAGCATCTCAGCTATGACATTAATTTCCATACAACAGACAGTTTTCTGTTTAGTATCACCATCTATAAATGGGTAATGAATTGAGTGTAGCAAAACTTCTAACTCCTTTATCAGGCAATACAAATGAAGTAAGCATACAAATCACTTCAGCTGACAAATAATGTTATTGATGTAAATAACACTATGTGCTCCCTTGGGGTTAAAATGCTACATTACATTACTTTTATACATATTAGTGATAAGATTCAAAACGAAGTAGATAAATGACGAACAGGCAGAAAATAAAACATTCAATACCTTTAACTGTCTCAGGAGTTTTCAATCCTACAGACAACGAAGATGTCGAACCAGCAAGTTTTGTAACTTCCTTTGATTCTGAAGTGGCACCTGATTCGGAAACAACGCTAGATGAGGATAACTTCATCACGTCTGATCTTTCCGGACCATCTAGAAGAGTAAGCTGGATAACAAAGGAGGAATAAATAAATTAGATTTTTTAATTGCAAGATGCATTCACGATCGATATTTTTGGACACAACCTGAATAAAGTACAACAAAATATATACTACTGTTGCGAATGAAATCTAATTAATACTTTTTAGTGGACCAGTACATTGGACTAAAATATTTACCTGCCGAACAAAGAGATAAAACAAAGGACGCTGGATTCAATGAGTCAAATTTAACAATAAATATTAGTTAATTTACTTTGTTACAAACTCCAGACTCATATCTGTCATGTTATTTGGTGTATAGGGACTATCAGTGGAATCCCGGAAGTACGTTCCCTCTCGTTTAGGACTCGTCATCTAGAGGTAACTGCAATCTCCAGTGTGTGTGATGGTATTTCTGCTGAGAATCAAACCCAGTCCCCGTCGTTTCAAACGCCAGTGTTAACGACTAAGCCACTTCGGCAGCAAATAACATCACTGTTGATCCTCAGACATCATCGGATAGTCCACATTCAGAGCCGCATGTCGACAGAAGCCAAACATTTCCGTTCAATTAATCAACGGGAAAAACAAGAATTGACTTACACAAAATGGAGAAAACTTATTACGGTTCACATTCTCAACTAATCATCGCAGAACCACCTGACACATTTTATAATATCACTCAAAGACAAACACTGTAAATAGTCCTTAACATAATAAAACAGAAAAATGGCACAATGCGGGACAAGAGAATTAAAATATGTCCTGGATATTGGACTATACAGTATTTGAATGGAGTCATATTACTATTATCCTACCATTATTAATACAAGGAGTTGCATGATTGTATGATGGTTCATGTATATATATATATATATATATATATATATATAAATGTAAGGTAATAAGAATGCGAATAGAGAAGTGATGTTAACAATGTAATCAGAAGTGGTAAAATATTGTGAAATAAAAGGACAGAAACAAAGTATGTGACAACACATTTAAAATAAAAAGATGAGAATACGTTTGCGTCTGTATAATTTATTTTGATCCCAATCACCCACAATCTTTAGTCACGAGTTTTGGTAGTCATTTCGACCACAGCAAGCAAGTTGCACTTTTCCAAACTAATTGGACTAACAGTCATGAATTCATTCATTGGCTGGGTACGGATACGGCCACCCTTGACTCAACAAGCCATGATAGGTGGTAAGTAGGCGTAACAAATGATAAAACCAATTTAGACGATTGACAGTTAATTTTCTATCAAAAAAGAGAGGTGGTGTGTAGAATAAATGAATGTAATCTTTGCAGACTCAACACTGATGACTAAACACTGGGATAATATAACGGCGCATACTGATATATTCTTGACGCCTAATAGGTATACAGATATTTCACTAAAGAAGTGGATAACGAAAATGAGACGGCCTTCACACTTCACCAATTGATAACAAAGTGACTTTCTAAAGTTGAAATAAGTGTCGGTTCAAACATTTGCGGGAGTGAGAAATTATATTTAGAAGAACCCAACTACCCGGAAAACATATTTAATGTACCCACCTACGAATTACGCACTATGTAGAGGCTTCTGATACTAATCAGTTGCTCAGGTTGCAGTAAGTGAAATGGGATTAGAGCCCGGTGTCCACTGGCTTGAAGGCAAGATCTAAAGCCAATGAGCACCAAGTCCAGTTTCTTAGAAAACAAGGAATATATCGCACACATTCCTAAAGTCTCACAAACCATTGGATAGACAATGTTTTAGCAGTATATTCTTCAGGGGGCGCACTCTGTCTGTTCTTTAAGATATTAAGGTATGGTTGAGACTAACAATCGGAAGTAAGGAAGAAAATCGACTGCCTGGTGCATATTGAAGCAAAGGCTGAGCAAGCATAAGAGTTATCGCCTTCTAAGGAAATGTTGCGAAACAACTACTCGACAGAAATGACAGTAAGTCCCGACATCATGTTGATTAAGCCCTTTGGATGCTCTAGTGTCATAAGCTCTATAGGCTGGAGACTACAGTTGGATTCAGTTCCCGGCGAAGTTAACGTATCACAGCCAAAGTCAAGGTCTGTCAAAAGTGGACATCCAAGAATCAATCAGATTTACGGAAATGTCATTCGAAATCAAATCATGCTTACCGTTTAGAATTTGGCGAGAGTAGATACAGTATTCTACTTATTCCCCATGTACTTTTTCTGTGAATCTGTACTGCAGGTATGCTACGGTTATGGCTTTTAAGATTACGGTTACAGTTAGGTGTAGGTTAAAGAAGTGTCAGAAACATCAGTGGATTTCAAAGTATCACGATCAACAGTCACCTGGATGAAAACATCTATCACGCATGGTAAGACTTCTCTTTAGGTTGTCCGGTTAGCGACTGGGAGACATCCTTACAACACATAAGCGACAATTATTCAGTGTAATATCGTATTCACAATGTGCATTAATGCATTTTCCACAGATTATGCGACCTGTTTTCATCTGAATTCTGATTGGTTGCCCAAAGTCACTGTAATTTTGGTTATGATAGTTTAACTTCGCCTAGGTTCCAATAAGTGTGCCTGCAGAGTAAGAATACCAGCAGACTAAATATTCAGTTGGGAATCCAGTTTCATGGGGCTGGGAATACCTTTTTATAATCTGATATAAATACGGAGTGCAAGGACTGAAAAAGCTAAATAGGGTAATGCGAAATTGATGAGAAAGATATTATGGAGCCCCTGATAGTAAAGACTTCTTATAATATGCATTAGCTGACACATAGAGAGATGCAAGCAATGCATAAAACCGTTTAAAATAAAACATACCTGAGATGGGCGCACAAATATCCCAAAATTTTCCTCACATATAAAGTAGCGTTCCCCCTGAACCGTGCCGTTGTTCTTCCCTTTGGGCTCGTCTAGTATTATACCCACCCATTTTCCTAAGTCCGCGATGAGAACAAAAATTTTTACCTGGTGAGAATTGTGTTACTCCGACAAAAGCAACGGTCCCAAAAACTGATCTCGATGTTATTTTAACACGACACCCAACTTTTACTTTCTCTTCAGCCATACAGCTGTAATAGAACAACACAAACAATTATACAGATCAAGCACGCAGGGTAGAGCGAAGAAGCAGAACACGACTTGAGGAAAAGCACTTTATAATTGACACTGAATTACACCAGCAGCAGTCCAAAAAAAATATATACATGTTGTGAATTTCTCCCAAAAGAAATCTGAAACGATAATCCAAATTATAGATTTAACCACACGTAGAGTGACGCGTAAAGTGCGAAATACAGGATATTCTGCAATACGGTACTTTATTGCATAAAAATAGATATATAATATACAAACCTCAAGATGTGAGGTATCTGTGGCTAAATGGCGTCAAATGCACAACCACTGTGCAGTCAATAAGTAAAAACAGCAATGCTGTGTCAAGGTTGATCCACGTGTCGGTTCAAACGGCCCGCGAATGCCAAGCAAAGAATAAACAAATATGAACAAACAACTTTCAATAGGAAAGCATACACTATAGGGTAAGGTCAGCAAATAATGTTTAAGGAGAAGAAAAATAAGAACTATACATTGATAGAATGATAATAGAAGAAGTAATTTAACTGCAGTTGTAAGCAAATGTCATTGTTATAAATTAACATATAAAAACCATACTACCATACTTACTAATGGCAAGTAGTATAATGTTGAACAAAGGAAAGATTGAGAATGAACAAGTAGGAAAGGAATTAACACCGCCCCCTCAAAACCAGCCTGGTTTTACCTACTCTACCTGCTAGTAAGACACAGAAATGGTACAATTTACTCTCGCCACATCTGCATCCACTATCCAGCTATATATCCTACAAAGTGCTTATCTCTCCTCAATATTTTCTAATAGGCAAACCTTACGCACATCTCGGTTGACTATACCCCTCGGTGTCTTGATATCCACTTTTCTGATATACCCATCACAGCTTGCCGTAATACCTGTAATTATTCCCATTGAACAAAGATTGCGAGGTGAAGGCTCCGCAGTCACTAGTACTAGGTCTCCCACTTGTAAGTTCCGATGTCGTTGAACCCACTTTGCACGCGATTGTATAGTCGTCAAGTACTCCCGCTTCCACCGTCTCCAAAACGTATCGGCAAGGAGTTGCCCTTGTTTCCATCGTCGTGAACAACGTCCACATAAACTAACGTCAATTGTGGCTCGTTTTAAAGCATAGGCTGCACAAAAAGGTGATGATGCAGCACCGAAGGGATGTACGTTTAATTGATATAGGCTCGGTGGTAAGTCCGGTCTACCCTCAGAATACCATAAGAAACTAAAGGCACTATCGAAAATCACTCTTATTTTACCAGGCTTGCGGGGATTTATAACTGGGTGGTGAGGGATAAATCTACGTTTCTTGGAGAAGTCGTCAGGAACGCGACTAATGTAACCCTTCCACTCATGGTCTGTTGGTATTTGATTGTAGGACTTTAATAGGCTTTCGTCCTTTTTCAGTTTCTTCTGAAGACTGTCCAGCCTGCGTTCTGCCTCAAACCTATTAGGCGGTAATCTACGCCAGTCCTCTTTCCAAGTCAATGGAACTTCATAATGTCCGTTCCGCAATCGTATCTCCCTATCGGTTGCCTTCAGAACCTCTTTATCTATTTCAGAACTGGACCTTTCGTATGAGTGCTTGTCATGAAATTCAGCTTCAATCATTCGCAAAGGCTTGTTCTCTACTGATTCACTTTCCTCTAAGCAGAAGATAGAGGTTGCTTCTTTATAAATAAATTAGATTATTTAATTGCAAGATGCATTCACGATCGATATTTTTGGACACAACCTAAATAAAGTACAACAAAATATATACTACTGTTGCGAATGAAATCTGATTAATACTTTTTAGGGGACCAGTACATTGGACTAAAATATTTACCTGCCGAACAAAGAGATAAAACAAAGGACGCTGGATTCAATGAGTCAAATTTAACAATAAATATTAGTTAATTTACTTTGTTACAAACTCCAGACTCATATCTGTCATGTTATTTGGTGTATAGTGACTATCAGTGGAATCCCGGAAGTACGTTCCCTCTCGTTTAGGACTCGTCATCTAGAGGTAACTGCAATCTCCAGTGTGTGTGATGGTATTTCTGCTGAGAATCAAACCCAGTCCCCGTCGTTTCAAACGCCAGTGTTAACCACTAAGCCACTTCGGCAGCAAATAACATCACTGTTGATCCTCAGACATCATCGGATAGTCCACATTCAGAGCCGCATGTCGACAGAAGCCAAACATTTCCGTTCAATTAATCAACGGGAAAAACAAGAATTGACTTACACAAAATGGAGAAAACTTATTACGGTTCACATTCTCAACTAATCATCGCAGAACCACCTGACACATTTTATAATATCACTCAAAGACAAACACTGTAAATAGTCCTTAACATAATAAAACAGAAAAATGGCACAATGCGGGACAAGAGAATTAAAATATGTCCTGGATATTGGACTATACAGTATTTGAATGGAGTCATATTACTATTATCCTACCATTATTAATACAAGGAGTTGCATGATTGTATGATGGTTCATGTATATATATATATATAAATGTAAGGTAATAAGAATGCGAATAGAGAAGTGATGTTAACAATGTAATCAGAAGTGGTAAAATATTGTGAAATAAAAGGACAGAAACAAAGTATGTGACAACACATTTAAAATAAAAAGATGAGAATACGTTTGCGTCTGTATAATTTATTTTGATCCCAATCACCCACAATCTTTAGTCACGAGTTTTGGTAGTCATTTCGACCACAGCAAGCAAGTTGCACTTTTCCAAACTAATTGGACTAACAGTCATGAATTCATTCATTGGCTGGGTACGGATACGGCCACCCTTGACTCAACAAGCCATGATAGGTGGTAAGTAGGCGTAACAAATGATAAAACCAATTTAGACGATTGACAGTTAATTTTCTATCAAAAAAGAGAGGTGGTGTGTAGAATAAATGAATGTAATCTTTGCAGACTCAACACTGATGACTAAACACTGCGATAATATAACGGCGCATACTGACATATTCTTGACGCCTAATAGGTATACAGATATTTCACTAAAGAAGTGGATAACGAAAATGAGACGGCCTTCACACTTCACCAATTGATAACAAAGTGACTTTCTAAAGTTGAAATAAGTGTCGGTTCAAACATTTGCGGGAGTGAGAAATTATATTTAGAAGAACCCAACTACCCGGAAAACATATTTAATGTACCCACCTACGAATTACGCACTATGTAGAGGCTTCTGATACTAATCAGTTGCTCAGGTTGCAGTAAGTGAAATGGGATTAGAGCCCGGTGTCCACTGGCTTGAAGGCAAGATCTAAAGCCAATGAGCACCAAGTCCAGTTTCTTAGAAAACAAGGAATATATCGCACACATTCCTAAAGTCTCACAAACCATTGGATAGACAATGTTTTAGCAGTATATTCTTCAGGGGGCGCACTCTGTCTGTTCTTTAAGATATTAAGGTATGGTTGAGACTAACAATCGGAAGTAAGGAAGAAAATCGACTGCCTGGTGCATATTGAAGCAAAGGCTGAGCAAGCATAAGAGTTATCGCCTTCTAAGGAAATGTTGCGAAACAACTACTCGACAGAAATGACAGTAAGTCCCGACATCATGTTGATTAAGCCCTTTGGATGCTCTAGTGTCATAAGCTCTATAGGCTGGAGACTACAGTTGGATTCAGTTCCCGGCGAAGTTAACGTATCACAGCCAAAGTCAAGGTCTGTCAAAAGTGGACATCCAAGAATCAATCAGATTTACGGAAATGTCATTCGAAATCAAATCATGCTTACCGTTTAGAATTTGGCGAGAGTAGATACAGTATTCTACTTATTCCCCATGTACTTTTTCTGTGAATCTGTACTGCAGGTATGCTACGGTTATGGCTTTTAAGATTACGGTTACAGTTAGGTGTAGGTTAAAGAAGTGTCAGAAACATCAGTGGATTTCAAAGTATCACGATCAACAGTCACCTGGATGAAAACATCTATCACGCATGGTAAGACTTCTCTTTAGGTTGTCCGGTTAGCGACTGGGAGACATCCTTACAACACATAAGCGACAATTATTCAGTGTAATATCGTATTCACAATGTGCATTAATGCATTTTCCACAGATTATGCGACCTGTTTTCATCTGAATTCTGATTGGTTGCCCAAAGTCACTGTAATTTTGGTTATGATAGTTTAACTTCGCCTAGGTTCCAATAAGTGTGCCTGCAGAGTAAGAATACCAGCAGACTAAATATTCAGTTGGGAATCCAGTTTCATGGGGCTGGGAATACCTTTTTATAATCTGATATAAATACGGAGTGCAAGGACTGAAAAAGCTAAATAGGGTAATGCGAAATTGATGAGAAAGATATTATGGAGCCCCTGATAGTAAAGACTTCTTATAATATGCATTAGCTGACACATAGAGAGATGCAAGCAATGCATAAAACCGTTTAAAATAAAACATACCTGAGATGGGCGCACAAATATCCCAAAATTTTCCTCACATATAAAGTAGCGTTCCCCCTGAACCGTGCCGTTGTTCTTCCCTTTGGGCTCGTCTAGTATTATACCCACCCATTTTCCTAAGTCCGCGATGAGAACAAAAATTTTTACCTGGTGAGAATTGTGTTACTCCGACAAAAGCAACGGTCCCAAAAACTGATCTCGATGTTATTTTAACACGACACCCAACTTTTACTTTCTCTTCAGCCATACAGCTGTAATAGAACAACACAAACAATTATACAGATCAAGCACGCAGGGTAGAGCGAAGAAGCAGAACACGACTTGAGGAAAAGCACTTTATAATTGACACTGAATTACACCAGCAGCAGTCCAAAAAAAATATATACATGTTGTGAATTTCTCCCAAAAGAAATCTGAAACGATAATCCAAATTATAGATTTAACCACACGTAGAGTGACGCGTAAAGTGCGAAATACAGGATATTCTGCAATACGGTACTTTATTGCATAAAAATAGATATATAATATACAAACCTCAAGATGTGAGGTATCTGTGGCTAAATGGCGTCAAATGCACAACCACTGTGCAGTCAATAAGTAAAAACAGCAATGCTGTGTCAAGGTTGATCCACGTGTCGGTTCAAACGGCCCGCGAATGCCAAGCAAAGAATAAACAAATATGAACAAACAACTTTCAATAGGAAAGCATACACTATAGGGTAAGGTCAGCAAATAATGTTTAAGGAGAAGAAAAATAAGAACTATACATTGATAGAATGATAATAGAAGAAGTAATTTAACTGCAGTTGTAAGCAAATGTCATTGTTATAAATTAACATATAAAAACCATACTACCATACTTACTAATGGCAAGTAGTATAATGTTGAACAAAGGAAAGATTGAGAATGAACAAGTAGGAAAGGAATTAACACCGCC